TGTTTACCAGTGCGCTTTGAAAGTATTGCAGTGGGTTAACAGCTGCTGTGAACCAGTGCAGACCAACTTCAGCTGCCTCCCAGGGCCTGAAGTGCCTCCAGTCCTCAGGCCAGACAGTGTATCTCTCCCACGACATGGAGGCCGGGCTGTGGTCAGGAGGATGGTTTCAGCATCAAGCTCTTTCCTGTCTCTGAGCTGCAGTCCCCTCTCATCTGTGATGGGAACGATAGAACCTACATCGTGCGGCCATTGTGATGGCCTGGTCTTGGGGTACAGTGTATGAGGGGATCAGCTTCAGGGGCAAGGTTTTGCAGTAAACACCCAAGATTAGCCTGTAGTCCCCTCCTCATTGGACCTCAAATAATTTTTTAGTGGTACTTGGCCGCTTTGGACAGAACCTTTGGTGATGGTTGGCAAGTGGCACTTTGGCATATGTGCTTGAAGGTTCAGAAACTATTTCCAAATCACATTATGGCAAATCCAGCCTTTCAGACTTGCAGTTTGTGTTGTGGTTCTTCCTTCCCCATTCACTGGCCGTCCCAGGCCTGCTGAGGTCCTGGCAGCTCTAGTTCTTGTTCTCTAGTTTTTGCTCTGTTAGAACCATCTGTCCGGAGGCCAAGAAGGACCATTGGCTATGGGGAGGTCATGAGCAGAGAGGGGCAGAGCATGGCACTGCCCCCTCAAGCAGTGAGTCTCCAGTGAGTGTCCCCAATGAGTCGGGCCCCACTGGGGCCCCCCTGCAGCCCACAGCACGTGGTTGCTCAAGGTGAAGCAGGGGAGGCAGAGGACCAGCTCCCCTGCCCAGGCATTACAAGGGCGCTGCTTGTGCCCCGTGTGTGACTGTCTAGTGAACGGGCCCTTCAGTGTTCCCTCTCAGCCTGCTTCTCCCTAGGACCCAGACGAGCTCAGGGCAGGGTGAGGAGTGGGCTGGGCCACGGCCTCCGTGCTGTGCTCAGAACCCTCCGAACACTGGCTCAGCGCCCAGCGAGTTCCTTGTGTCCTCATTTGTGCCCTGAATGAGCTCTGCCGTGGGGGCCCTCGGCCCCCTGAATATGCTCATCTCTCAGGTCCCCCCCTCCGTGAGTCAAGAGTGAACCCCAGCAGGGGCCACAGCCCATGTCTGCCCCTCGGGGACACCTGATCATTGGGTGAGAGACGTCTGTGGGTCTTGCGCCTCACCAGATGTGTCTGGACACCCCTGGACCCCTGCGGAGGACCCAGCCCAGGCACTTCCGTGGGGCCTCTTTGTCACCCTGTGTCAGACGTGGTCCTTCTTATAGGTCTGCTTTCTTACTGGAGAGAGCAGGGGGTTGAGTCTAGGACTGGTTAAGGGGAGGCCACTCTGTCGACATGGGTGCCCTTCATCTGGGGCTACACAGCCGCAGCGTCTTCCAGACCTGGGACCTCAGGGCAGGGCTATCCATCTTCCTCATCTGAGCTCAAGAAGGGTCAGTGGAGGAGCACCCCGACAGGCTGCGGGGCGATGTGTGTCCATAGCCACTACGCTCCCTGTGCTAATGTTGATTATGTGCTGGGCACCGTGCTAAGCTCACATGGACCTTCTCATTGAATATGCACCAGTGGTCTAAGAAGAAGGTACTGTTAGTACCCATTCCACTCTCCAGATGAGGCACTGAGGTGCAGCTAAGCTAATCTGGTGAACGGCAGGGCTGGAGTATACATTCTGTCTCCACAGCCAGTGCCCCTAAGGAAACAAAGTGAATGGATTAGCAGAGGCAAGTCCTCTTTACCTAAGAGGTGTCAAATGTGAAGTATAGAGCAGGGGTCAGCATACTGTTTCTTAAAGGGCCAGAAAGTACATCTTTTCCACTTTTCAAGCCACATGGATCTCTGTCATGCTCTGCCTTTGTTGTCCTAAAGCACCAGAGCTAAATATAGAGCAAGTAAATATCATGTGTTATACTAAAGCTTTATTTACGTAAAAGATGGTGGGCCAGATTTGGCCCTCAGACCATAGTTTGCCACTTGGTGGTATAGAGGACAGTGTTAATGCCCCTGACAAGCTGGGTGACCTCAGATTAGTCATTCAACTTCTTCATCTTTGGTTTCCTCATGTCTGATAATGAACCACTACGGGGTACTTATTAACTAATTTGTTTTGAAATGATGGACTGATCTTGTAAGAGCCACATACTCTGCTGGGACCCAAAGATACAGCAGGGAACAAGACAGATGTACTTCTGCCCTCATGGGATCCAGCCTGTGAGCATGACAGAGATAACCTTGGGTAAACACATCAGCCAGCACTATGCTTGGCTCAGGCAGAAATTCACCAAATATACCTCCTCTTCCCCCTGCCCTGCCCTGACTCATCATTCAGAACCCACTGCTGTCAAATTTGTCGTCCTTTGTACCCATACTGAATAAAAAGGCAAAAGCACATGTTGGGACTCAGGACTTTAATATGTTTATAATCCATTTTTATGCAATACCGGTCTAATTGTGAATCATAATTTTTTCATTAAATGACGTGATTTTACTTGATAATATCCATTTAGGTATGTAAGAGCAGTAAAACTCCATTTGTGTTAAATATTATATGTATGATTCAGTTGGTTCACTCATTTAGATTTTTACTATTCCTGAATCCAAACGAATGAACCATCCATCTTTTAAGAAATAACAAGGACCTTCAAGATCAGGTGAGCCCTGTATTTCCTTTCAAATACACCAAGTCAAGGGGCCAAGGGCAGCCTGAGCTCTGGGATGGAGCTTTGAGTAGCACCACAGTCCCAAAAGTTCTTGCTTTGTCATGGAAATGCACGTGTAGTTCGCATTTTACTCCTTTAAATGTCCTAATGTGTTTAATATATCTGAGTTTCCTTCTGCATCTTTAAGGAAAACTGATAACTGAGATAACAGGCAATGTTCATCTTTGGAATTCACCTGTATACAGCACTTTGCTCTGTAGAGGCAGTGCAGCCTAATGGTTAGGACCACTGCCTCGGGGGACAGACTATCTCAGATTGCATCTCAGCTACTTCTCTTCCTTCTAAGGGAACCGGCTCAAGGTTCTTATCCTCTGTGTGCCTCATGTTCACTATCTCTAGAATGGTGACAGTGGCAGTCCCCAGCCTGTAGGGGGAAATGAGTTGGTATGTGAAAAATGCTTGTGGCAGAGCCTGACTCATGGTAAGCACTCAGCAAGCGCTAGCTGTGATGGTCATCCCAGGAGTTACATGGATCTCCAGTGTGAGTATGTGCCCAGGACATGGCCCCTGAAAAGCAGAGGTGCTCACACATGTTCACCCAGCACCTGTGAGTCCTAGCTCCATGTACACGAGTTTTGGTGTTTCCCTGACTCAAGTCTCTGGCATTGGTGTGCTCACTCTGCTTTCAGAATCATTCACTATCTAATTTGCAAGGAGCTATGACAGCCCCCTCTGTCCATGACATCCTTTGTGTACCTCCAGTGATGGGGTTTCCTCCCCCAGTAGCACCCCTTCTGTGATAGGAGTGTCCTGGGTGCTGGGCACTTATTTTCAAGCTTGCTCCTCTCCCCAAATGGACTCTTCCAAGAACCTGTCAAGAGGAGGTAGTGGTAAGAGCTGTGGTATGCAGCTCTGAGCTCTTCAGCCTTGAAGACCAAGGGGCCCGAGCCCTTTGCCTGTCTCCAGACTGTACCTTTAAGTTACCTGACATAGGTGTGTTTGCACCTGCTGGCTCCATGTAGATAGCTAAAGGGACTTTGGCAAGTGTTCTAAGCCTGCCTTTCCTGTTCTGAACCCTCTTCTGCTTCCTCCTGGTCCCTGTCTCATTCCAGGCTCCTTCTCTTAGGTACATAATGTTTATGAACATGAAAGTCCAGTCCAGTGGCCTTAGCATCCCTGTCCAATTTCTCTGATTGCTGACCTTAAATGGTGGGCCTGACTACCTCTCCCTTGGAATGAGTTCCGTAGTCCTGACCAGTCAGCCTGTGTCCTGGCAAGACCTACTCATTATCCCTGTAAAAGAGGGACTTGGCCCACCAGGCTGCCCTTGCTATAGAAACCCTGAGTCGAATTTATTGTGCACTTACTCTGAGACAAGTGTTTTAAGTACATTATTGCATGTAATCCTCACAGATCTCAGGAATGAGGGGTAGGTATTATTATTATATCTCCACATTACAGGTGGGGAAATCAAGGTGTCAAGAGGTTGAGTGTTTGCTTATGGTCATGTCGCCAGTGAATAGTGGGGCAGGGATTTGTTTGAATCCGCATCTATATAAATCCAAGCCTCTGCTCTTATAGGTAATAATACCCCCTCCATTTTCTTGGAAATTTCTAGGAGAACCATGAACTCTCTTGACCTGATGTGAACATTGCCCCTCCAAAGTCTACCAGAGGTCCAGTGAGCAGTGCCCAGAGTGTGTGGGAGGTTGGGGATGGTCTGTCTGTCCCCTGTGCCAACAAGCCCCTATCCTGGTGGCCAGAGCCTGAAGCAGCAGGAGGCAATCTGGCCGAGGGTCCTAGTAGTTAGGTGAATATAATAGGGTGCGGCCAGGAAACTCTCAGCAGGACCAGACAGTGGAGAGAGGGTAGACCGGCAAGAACTGGGCAAAGGAGCAGGCACCCAGCTTGGGGACCCAGGTGTGGAACTGTTCAGGGCTGTCAGGGAATAGGGGTGTGATCTGGGGAAAGAGAAGCAGAAACTCCATTCAAGGGCTGGGACCGGCATCTCTGATGAGAAGGCAGACTGGGAAAGGAGGAGGTTCTGACATAAAGCCATGGGGCATCAGGACCACATCCACTGGCTTCCCCTCAGACTCTGCTGGGTGTATGTCTATATCCGTTGTGTTAGTGGTGGTTGGGTGGATGAATGGATGTATGGAAGGATAAATGAGCTTGGAGGAGCATGGCGATTCTATTCCTCCCTGCCCCCAAAGCTGGGGCTAAGATCGTTTTATTCAAAGCAATGGTGAGGAAGGGTAAGGGGTTGTCATGGCATATACAAGAGTGTACTCTGACCTACTGTCTCCTTATCCCTTCTTTTTCCAGAGGCCCCCGCCAAGCCCGAGGAGGCAGAGGCTGAGCCCTTCACAGACTCCTCTCTGTTTGCACACTGGGGCCAGGAGCTCAGCCCGGAAGGCCGGCGTGTGGCCCTGAAGCAGTTCCAGTACTACGGCTACAACGCCTACCTCAGCGACCGCCTACCCCTCGACCGGCCCCTGCCTGACCTCAGACCCAGTGGGTGAGCAGAGTCAGTGGCCGGGCCCTTGTCGACCTGTCCGTGGGGAGGTGGGGTCCTTGTGGTGCTGGGTACAGAGCCAGGACTGGGTGTCGGGACCCCTGATCTCTTCCCAGCTTTAGCTTAGGGTCCTCCCCCCTCGGGCTGCATCGAGCAAGTCACTCTCCCCCTCCTCCTCCAGCCTCAGTTTCTCCATCTGCTAAGCAGAGAGAAGGCTTTTTTCCACTAGAAATAAGACATTTTGAGGATTAATAACCGAATTTAATCCTTAAGGGCACAAGAATCATCTGGCACTCCTGTTAATAAGTCATTTTAACCCAATTAGTTGCGTTTTTATGAACAATTATTTTTTTCTGTAAATTAGTTTCTTAAAGTACATCCATCTTCCAAGGCTAACAAGTCATTACACCCGACAGAGAAGTCTGTCTTGACTTCTCTCTTTGTTACAAAAGATGTTCCTTTAAGGTTCAGTTAGAATTTTTATTACTCCTAATTATTAAAAATGTGGGCACGTACCACAGCTGAAAAAATCTCATTAACTTTTGTGAGCTCCCCCCTCTGCACCTTCTCTTCCTCTCTTTCTACTTATTTTTAAAATTTTCTTAAAGCTGCAAACCACAGTTAGCTTGTGTCTGGAGTTTTCAAGAAAGATCTTGCTTCTGGGTTTAGAGTATGTGTTCTTTGGAAAGGAGAGTTCAGTTCAGTTTCATAGATATTTATTGAGCTTCTGCTGTATGCCCTGTAGTTAGGTATGGTTTTTCTTGGCCCAGGGGAACCTGGCTGGGCTCTAGTGATGAAAGACCATCTGAGGATCTACAAGGAGAAAAAAGAGTATATGTTTATTTAAAAAATACTTGGGGGCTTCCCAGATGGCTCAATGAGTAAAGAATCCACCTGCAATGCAGGAGACACGGGTTCAACCCCTGGGTCAGGAAGATCCCCTGGAGGAGGGCATGGTAACCCACTCCAGTGCTCATGCCTGGAAAATCCTGTGGACAGAGAAGCCTGGTGGGCTACAGTCTATGGGGTCACAGAGTCGGACATGACTGAAGCAACTTAGCGCACACACAGGACTCTGCAGAGGCCTCAGCCATGATCTTGGCCAGCACAGAAACTATGGACTCAGGTGCAACTCAATACACATTTTTCCCAAAATAAGGGGAAATGGTAGATTTTGCCGACTGCAGCGTGGCTGTAATGATGACTGGTGTTTACATGGGCTTGACTGGTTGAGATGTGCTTCCCGTATGGACCACACCAACCTGCATGAAGGTGGGCAGGCAGCTGGCACAGTCCCATTCAGCGTCGAAGTAGCTGAGGAGCAGAAAGAGTAAGAGTTCTGGCTGACATCACACAGTTGAATAAGGGACCGAGCCGAGACTTGAACCAATGTATCCAGAAGCCAAATCCGGGCCTTTGACTCGAGCCCGCCGCTGGGCTGGCCGTGATTGTGCAGGAGGCATGCTGAGAGCTGACTGACACTGCAGCCCTTCCACCCCTCACTGAAAGAGGTGCCCTGCACACCAGTCCTTCCTGTCTCCATGGGAGAGAAGCAGGAGTTGCTGGGTGGAGAGACGAGGCCTCAAGGCCTTTCTCTAAAGTGCAGGGCTCCCTGGAAAGCCCGCTCTGAAGGAAGTGCATTCAGAAAAGGCAGCCCAGCCTGGACTTCCCGAGTTTGCTAAGAAGGTGGCGGCAGGTGTGGGAGCGAGGGCCGGAGGGGGATGTCTCTGAAGGATTCCAGGTGAGCTGAATTCTGTGGTTTCCTCCTGAGCCACTGGAGAGAAGCAGTAATCATAATGGAAAGACCTGTCCTCTGCACAGAACTTTACAGTTTATGGAGCTTCCACACCTCCCCTGTGGGCAAGGCGACTTCTGTCAACCCCTTTTTATAGCCAGTAAAACAGAATCTCTGATAAAAGGCAGAGCTGAGCCTTCCTGCTCTCAGCAGGGCCTCCTGCAGAGGCTCCAAGGACGATGGTTTCTCTTGCACATGGGCTGGAAGGCTCTGTCTAGCTCTACTTCAGCTGCTGTGCCAGACACACACCCAGGATTAGAGAGCCGTTGGTGGACCACTCGAAACAAGCACATGCTTGGGTAAAACAGTGCCTCTCTTTGTCTGTTAATTTCCATGAAAACATCACTGCCTTGTAACAAGGTCATTGCTTGTTTATCCCGTTTAACGCATTTTAGAAACATCTTTTCAATATCTTTACTGTCATCCTATTTCAAATTACACTGCCAAACATTTATATAGCATGAGCCATGTTTTCAGGGAAGCATTTCGCACTTTATTTATATTAACTCTTTCATGTCTCACAGTAACCTTCTGGAGTAAGTAGGAGATGCACACTTTACTCTCCTACTCATGACACTTTGACACCCGATGTGAGGGTTTTTTCCCCCATATCGACCAATTCTGTGACACCAGCTGGGTGTCCCTACGATTCAATTAGCTTTAGATGCTACCTACCAGAGTTAGTGTCAGATCCCATAAGTTAAGGGCTCAGTCCCACAAGACTGGCTCCACTTTAGGTGCCAGTCACAAGCCCCAGCTGTCATCTGTACTTGTCACTGCCCAGCTGTAATTTGGGATTCAACCCCTCCTTGGTGGTGGTGGTGGTTTAGTCGCTAAACTGTGTCTGACTCTTCATGAACTGTAGCCCAGAGGCTCCTCTGTCTATGGAATTCTCCAGGCAGGAATACTGGAGTGGGTAGCCATTCCCTTTCTGACCCAGGGGTTGAACCTGGATCTCCAGCACTGCAGGCCGATTCTTTATGTCTCAGCCACCAGGGAACAGGGGGCTGGTAAAGGGGATTGGACTATTTTCTGCAGCCCCTGATGGGAGCAACGGGGGCAGAAGCATGCACACCTGCCCCCAAAGGAGCCGGGGGTCCTGAGCTGGGGAGACTCTGTGGAAAGAACATTGAAGTGGAAAGAGTCGGGATGGGATTACAGCAGGGAAAGAATGCAGCCTGGAGCCGGGGCTCTGGATCCTCCTGGGAGCAGGTTAGGGTCCATCCAAGGTGGCTGTGGGTGTTTGCGGTGTTACCACTAGGAGTATGGCCACCAGATCTGTGTGTATGGAGGGTCACAGGGTCTTCATGCTGCAGCCACTAGACAGATCTCTGGGATCTCTGAACTTTGGGATTCAGCAGGACTGGCTTCATGAGCAGCATGTATGGTAGGCAGGTAATGGCCTCCCAAGGTTGTCCACGTCCTGATCTCTGGAACCTTTGAACATGGTGTATTACATGGCAAAGGAGAATTAAGGTTGCAGATGGAATTGAGGTGGCTAATCAGTTTGCTTTAGAATAAGGAGATCATCCTGAATTATCTAGACGAGCCCAGAGTAATCCCTGAGCACTTAAATGTGGAAGAGAAAGGCAGAGCAATGGCAATGTGAGAAGGACTCAGCCAGACACTGCTGGCTTTGAAGATGGAAAAGAGCTATGAATGGGGGCAACCTGTAGATACTGAAAAAGGCAAGGACAGTGTCTAACAGGTTATCACCTGGAACCTCTAGAAAGGAATGCACTTCTGCTGACACTTTGACTTCAACCCAGTGAGACCTCTGTCAGACTTCTGGCCTCCAGAATTGAAGATAACTAATATGTGTTGTTTGAAGGCACCAAGGTGCAGGACTTTCTTACAGTGGCAGGGTTAGTATCAGGACACTATACAGTGGGCCCCTTTTATACAAGATCCTCAGAAGGCTAAAAATGCCCTGCCCTTGGTTTAGTGTTCTGCTGTTGCTGTGTTAAAATTCTTAGTAAGTTTTCAACAAAGGCCACCATGTTTTCCTTCTGCACTGAGCCCCACAGGTTATGTATCTGGTCTTGGTGGGGAAGCGGGGCAGTTTCAGGTGAGAAGCTGGGACATGATCACTGGATTATCTAGGGGTTGCTTTCCCAGGGCCAAGGATTTATACCAAGAGCCACTGTCTGCTCACCAGCCCTTCCTGTGTGCCAGGCACTGTGCAGACAGATTAATGTCTACTTTCTCCTTTAACTTTTATCCTCATGTCTCTATGGGGTAGTTATTATTATTCACATTTTATATAGGAGAATGCTGAATATTTGCAAGGCTAAGAAACTTGATCAAGTTCCCAGTGTTTTACGTAGGTCTGTGTCTCTAGGATGCTATTCAGCCTCCTTGCCCCACCCTTCCTAGGGGAGCTTTTCTAGTTTGGAATCTTGGCTCTGTGGAGATGACCAAGAGGTCTTTGGAAGATGAGACTTCCATGACAGTTGCCTCAGGACAAAGGGGTAAAATCAACACCCTGAGTAATGATTCTGCTGCTGCATCAAAAATGCTAACTGCACAGACACAGGAGGAAATACTTCTTAACTGGGGCAATCTGGGAAAGTACTTATGGTTCCTGGTTAACTAAACATATTATGAACCAGTAGTATCACATGCTTGTCCTTAAATATGATGTAATCTTGAGCAATATTAATGTCTTAAAATGGGGAGGTGAATAGTTTTGTTCTACTCTGCTACTCAGATCAAAGCTACGGAATTAGGTTTTATGGGATATAGAGAAAGTGAGGCATGTTTAGAGGAGAACAACTCAAGAGGAAAAACTGGGTAACATGACAGACAGATGAAGTTTCTGCTAGATTATAGAGTAATATGTAAAACCCAATTGCCCTGATTCCAAGGCCAGGTCTCTCACTTCTAAGCTGGTTGATCTCCAGCAAGTTAAGTAGCCTCTCTGTTCCTTGGTTTTCCTGTCTGTAAACTGGAGATGGTAATACAAAGATTGAACATGTAATATATGTAGATGCCTTAGAACATTGCCTGACATCACAGTAACTGCTATTTAACTTTTTGTTACTCTTCATCTGGGTCCCTGGGCTTCCCTGCCGGCTCAGTGGTAAAGAATCTGCCTGCCAATGCAGGAGGTGCAAGAGACCTGGGTTTGATCACTGGGTTGGGAAGATCCTTTGGAGGAGGAAATGGCAGCTCATTCCAGTATTCTTGTCTGGAAAACTCCCTGGAC